AGATAGATAGATAGGTAGGTAGGTAGATAGATAGATAGATAGATAGATAGATAGATAGTAGGGGTGGAACGGTACACAGGTGTCACGGTTTGGTACGTACCTCGGTTTGGGAGTCACGGTTCGATACGATTTCGGTACAACAGGGGAAAAAAACAAATCTACTATGCTCGGTTTCTTTTCATTTATTTTGAACAGACAGTAGTACAAATTAATTTTTTTCTGCTAATAACCCGACTGTGAATGATGCGAGCGGCGTTATGTTTTAGTGAGAAGCTGCAGCCGTGGCGGGGAGGATGTTTGGTGTGCTGGTGTTCTGACAAATAATGCTATATCAGATTATGCTACCAACAAATCATCAGAACACCGGCAGAACAACAACAATGTGCTACATGTTTCTTTTCCCCTCATTTTTTTTTTCAAAAAAATCTTAATGCCATTTACATACACAGACACACGCAGAACATGCTGGATCCATATTTAAATTGTATTTTTGCGGCTTAATATTTACAGATACTAGTCCATATTGCGACTCTATTTAAGTGTACTGACCTACTTTTGATTAATTCATCCAAACTTTGACAAATTCCGTGTGACATTCCGCGTCATACAGTAAATTCCATTTATACTGGATTCCGCGAATCCGTCCGTGTTTTCTGCATCGCGGAAATAATAGTATTGAGGTGTTTTGCAACTTCAGTGTAACGTTAGTGGATTGTGATTTATTGCATCTTAAGCAACGTCTGCTGCTGCTGCTGCCTTACCTTTGAGAGACAACTGATGCGTGATCACTGAAGGCCAAATAGCGCGTTTCAAAATTAAGTTATTTTATCGGCGAATCGGTTTTGAAAATGACCGATACCGATAATCATAAAATCCTTAATATCGGCTCCGATAATCGGCCAGGCCGATAATCGGTCGACCCCTACATAATGTAGCCTATATACGATGAGCTTCAGTTCATTTTTGTGACAGGCTTAATTTGTTCACAGAAAGGAAACTCAAATGGCAGAACGCCACATCCTACCGTATTGGCCCGAATATAAGACGACCCTGATTATAAGACGACCCCCCTTTTCCCAGATGTACCTTTTGGAAAAAGGCATTTTAAAAACCAAATCTTGTTTTTTCTCAGTAAAACACATTTTGTCTTCAATATTGCATATTTTGCATATTTTTCCTATTTTAATTTTTGTTTTGAAATTATGGTAAAGACTGGTAAAATGTCACATTTAAAACATTTAAAAATATATACACTTTTTGATATACCATAAAAAAAAAAAAAAACAGGTAGCCCATCTGAATTAGGACATTTAGGCTATCCATCTAATAGTAGCCTACCAAAATCTTATTAACAGTAGAAGTTAAATCTTACTGTAGTCTTCAAATCTGGGTACTGTCTTACGTTTTAAAATCACAAAGGGAGTTTGGTCCCATCAGGCTAACGTGACAATCACGACTCATGCAGCTATAAGCTTTTCTTATTCTTTTGTTTTTACTCGCGATCTTTACAACACGCATTACATTACGTGTTTCATGGCACACTCGTTTTATGCGTATTTGGCGCCACCTATTGTTGTGGGTGTATTATTGACATGTCAAAGTCTAGACCCTGAATATAAGACGACATGGCAGAAAGCGACATCCTATTTGTTTTCTTTATTTTACAAAAGCACAATGTTTTGTTTTCATTGTGAGTGTACACAAATAAAAGCAGACCTTTATACAGTGATGCATTATTAATATGACAATAAATGTTTAACGTTGATTCTGCTGGTATAAGGAAACAGTTGAAGTGATCGCGCAGGCGCACGCGCACACACACACACACACACACACACACACACACACACATCAGTTCCAGCACTGCTAACTTGACAGCGCAGTTGGTACTTTATCAAACTAAAATACAGTGAACCAAACATCAGCGCGCCCACCTCTGTGTCACCGTTGGAACGCGACTGAAGTACAAAGACTATAATTTACATAATGAATAATAGTTTAGCATTCAGATACGTTACATCGCAAATATGGAAATCTTATGGAATATTTGGATTTGTGCCGAATGAGAGAGGTAGGATACACGAGCACAAAGCTCCATTTCGCAAACAGTTGAGTGCACAAGCCTTTAAAGTATACTCCTTTGTCAGTCTGTGAGAGACGCATTCAGAATCAGCACATGGTCACTGTCTAGTGGGCTTTGTTTTCAAGTGCGCAACTCA